GTTCTGCCTTGGTGGGGATGGGGGGATGATGACGTCCATGCGAATGCGTTTTGTTCTGTTGTGCTTTTGGGTGTTCTGCCTTGGTGGGGATGGGGGGGGATGATGCCGTCCATGCGAATGTGGTTTGTTCTGTTGTGTTTCTGTTGTTCTGCCTTGGTGGGGGATGGGGGAGAATGATGACGTCCATGCGAATGTGGTTTTTTCTGTTGTGTTTCTGTTGTTCTGCCTTGGTGGGGGATGGGGGAGAATGATGACGTCCATGCGAAAGCATTTCACATCGGCTGCATGATGCAGCTGCTGAGGGTCCACTGACTGGGGGGTCGCGCTGTCTTCATCCTGCCATAGTGCTCAGGACCTTAGGATGGTGATGACTTGAATAAATATCGCCTGTGTCGGGTGAAGTGGTACTGCGGGTATTGAAATTAACGCAGCAACGGATTCGTGCAACTCTTTGAGCGGCTGCACGGCTCCCGCTTCTTGTACATCGGGAAAGCGGGCAATTCAATCAAATTTCGAGGCATGGGCTTCGTGCCTGCCAGGCTGCTCAAACACGCCCTATACCTTTTTTCGCCCTATACAAGACACACGTGTTTCGGCAATGTGGTGCATTTTTTTGCACTTCAAGCATAACCATTAATTGGCGGAAACAATTTGCGGCTAGTGTCGTCGACCTGACGAAACACCATCATGGACCCCCCCTTCATGCTCGGACCGCTCACAGTGCCTTGTTATTTTGTCCACCATCGTCATCCTGATCCTCTGTGTTTTGCAATCTTCTCGCTCAGCCCCTGTCCCGGTTCGCAAAAATCCACAGCCGTAGCATAAAGGAACAAAACATCTTACTAGCCATCTGTCAGGGGACCCGTGACCTTTGTTAAATTGTGCACGATCTCAGGGCTACATCTCACAAAGACGGTCTCTTGTCCGAGCCCAAGCGCCTAAGAAAAGAAGAAGAACAGCAACAACCAGAACAACTACCACATGCCCACCAGCCGCAACAACCAAAACCACCAATTCCACAACCGCAACCACTACCGCTTCCGTAACCGTAAGCAGCAGCAGCAGCAGTAGCAGCAGTAGAAGTAGCGGCACCACCACCACCACCACCACCACCACCACCACCACCACCACCCCCACCACCACCACCACCTCGATGACCTGACAACAGCTGCAATGATTGCAACAACGACCAAGACGATCCAAGACGACTGCCACGACGACCATGACGCCGACCGCGATGACAACCACCACAATGGCACGATGGCAACGGCGACGGCAAAGTCAACAACCACAGAGCAATGGCGGCAGCCGCAGCAGCAGCAGCAGCTGCTACTGCTGCGCCGGCGCAAGAGCGCAACCACATCACGACGCCGGCAACATCTTCGAGGCATCCTGGCATGCTGAGAATAGACTTTAAACTTCGGGGCAGCTGCGTGGGACGAAGTGCTGGTCCCATTGAAGTTTCCCAGACTTGCACACGCCTAACTTAGAGTCAATTCGGTTTACCGATAAGGTACTTTGGCTTTCAAACCAACGCTCTCGCGCTAGACTGGTATGAACCAGTTCACGCACCGGACATCAGCTGCTAAGCAAAAAGCCATGAGAAGTTTAGGGAGGCCAGGAACTTGTTAATGTTTAACGGTTCGGGCCTCGGGCAGTTCGACAGCTACCATGCGCGGGCCGCCTGAGCTGGTAGTGCTTCAACAACAACAACAACAACAACAACAAGGCAGCACCTGCGTCTGCCGCCGCGCGGGGTGTGTCGTTTTTGTTTTGGACGCTTTTTGGTCGAAAGCCTGAAAATCTCGGTATGTGTGTGGTTTTCGTCAGCAGAACGATGTTTGGGAGCCTGCATTTCTCCAAGTTCTTTGTCTTGGGTTTTTGGCGAGGTTCTTGCGAAAGTGTCGCAAATACCGTGCTTTTCTTTGTTTCTGGTGCTTGATTTTGGGTTCATTTTGGAAGAAGTTTTTGTTTGGAAAGGCAAAAAACGCGAGTTTTCTTGTATTGGCGGCGTTTCAATAGTAGGGTATCAACCAGGGCAACAGTGAGCAACTGGTGGCGTTTCATTCAGGCAGCACCATTATCATTTTCATGGCCATCAATGTTATCAGCTTAGGCATCGTCATCGGCATTCTTATCTGCGTCGCCCTACATCTTCAGATACGCTGACGCTCGCTTGGAGGGGCTCCCAATAAACGCCCCAAATGCCCCAAAACAGACCCAGAAAAAGACAAACGAGAGGTTCTGCGTCTTGAAGACAACATCCATTCCAACACGGCGGATGGATGCTCGCTGCTACGATAGCTTGCTAAGTCGAGGATCTTTCCCTCATCCTTCTTTTTTGGATTCTGCTGCACATGCCCTCTGGGTTCTGCGTTCTCTGTCGCGTTGCTTTCCTCCAAGTTCCCTACTGGAGCCCACTTCTGTGCCAAAAGTATGCGTGGTCAATTTTGAAGCCCCAGCTGTCCCAGAACATCTGCCGCTCCCGGGTTAATGCCCAGGTGAAGGGGTCAAGCATCCGCAACTCACAGACCCAAAATCACCGAGCAGCAAGAGATCAACCTGTCTCTTCCGAGTTACTCGACTTCACTCAAGGGAATTCTCGTGCTGAAACAAGGTGAACTCTGTCAACAGCAGCTCTACGGCAACCCAATGTGCTACCTGCTCACTATGTGGTTCATATTACCATTGCATTCTGTATTGCTGACAGTCATCTTAGCACCAGCCAGTGCTGCGCATGTCTTTCTCTGGCAAACTTCGATGGTGCATGCCTTGTGGGTTTGCACGACAACCTGTCAGGATGCGTGCATCCGAAATGAGTCGTGAAATGGATATACAAAGCTCTATATACAAGTCATACAACTTGGCCCCTCGTGACTTTGGACGAATTCCGTCGCGCGTCACACGTGGCTCGTGCTAAACTCGTCATGCTGTGCACATTCACAGGTGCGGAAAAGTCACCCTGGACGGGAAAACATGCCCAGATCTCAGCCTCTCGAATTACGTTCAGAGGGCACTGGCAAAAGGCGCGGCAATCTCCAAAAGATAGCCCTGAAGCCCAATGGCTTCACTGCCTCAATGCCTTCTGTGCACCACTGCGACGGTTCTGACCCGCATCGTCTGCACATGGTCAAGTGCCTGTCTTTCTCCACATGTCTTCTCTTCGATCAAGTCGTCCCATGACGCACTCTCGTAACATCATAAAAAAACGAAAACCATGATAACATGGTAAATTACATTGGGATGCTTCGGCACTGGGAACTCAAGCAAGCAACATCTTCGAGAAGACTTGTGGCCAGATCATTGTCAGGGCACGGAAAGGCATGCAACACTGAGACGTTGGGAAATGGCGACAACCAGCTGGCGAGGCTCTGACAATCCCAGGAAAGGTCTAAGCCTGCAATTCGCAGTGTGTATCCGGGAAGACATCCCACACCCTGGGCTTGTCAGAGAAGTTGAAAATGGGCACTGACGTTCGGTGCGAATCTTGCTACATGCATGAGGTCTGTACCCGGAACACGTCTTAGTGAGCTCGGACTTTCGCCTTATGCTCATGTTCCGCTCTTTCTGATATTGTCAGGTACGAAACATCGGAATGGCTGCCAGCTTGCTCAAAGGGCTGGCAGGCAACCGCGATATATTCAGCCACTGAGACGCCTTCTAAGGCATCAAGGTGTGCTTGGGTTCGAGGCGCCAAAAGCATGCTGCAGCCTATCTGCAGGCTGCAGAAGCCCACGAATCGCCGCGGGGCTCAGAACTCCGTCGACCCCTGGGTATGAAGAATTGCACTGATTCAAAGCTAGAATCTGCCCTGTCTGCTCCATCTCCGTGCCTCGCTCGTCGAGCCCGTGGAAAGCGAAGCGGACACGGCCTGTTTCGCTGGACACTGATGATTTCTTCTGAGCTTCGAAATCCTGGGTTCTTTTTTCGCCTTGCCGGGCGTGTGTGAAGCAGGTGGCTTGAAGGGCAGCTTCTGCTTGGAGCCCAGGTCCTTCACCAGCGCGGCGCAGTACGGCGGGCCGGCGACTCCTTGCGACGAGCACCATGACCGGGCCTTGATCGGGGCCCTCAAAGATGCCGAATCGAGAGCCAAGGCATCGAAGAGGACCTCACACAAAGAAACAACGACAAGGGCAAGGGCCGCAAGGGGGTGAGCCGGGTGAGCTGTGGAACACTGCAGCGACAAAGATCGCAGGAATCTGCAGCACCTGACTGGCCACGGCGGCCACGGGGCGCTCCTGGCGTAAGGAAAGGCGGACAAAGCTCGCGGCTTGCAACCACACGGTCCCAGTCCTCTGCCACCTGCAGAGGGCACTGTGAAAAGCCAAATGGGAAGCCCTCGCCATGCACCTTGTCCACCTTGCCCTCCTTGCTCATCAGCTGCAGGCGCCGCTTCGCCAAGGTCTGCTTGCTGGGGGCCTGCAGAGAGCAGAGCAGAGAGCCGGGCCGAGCCCGCGCCGAGGCGAGGCCGCGCCTGGCAGGCACCCGCGTCCAGCCCGAGGCAGTCGAAGGTCGAAGCGCTGGCCAAAAGAGCCATTGGAGGCCGCTTCCTGAAACCGACCGAGCACTCGTTCTCTGTCTCTCTCTCTCTCCCTCCCTCTCCCTTCGCAGTGCTCTCCGAGCAGCATGTACTGCATGAGTCCTGAGAGGGAGACAAGAACGATCAATAGAGTGGCGCATGATGCGGCGTCCTGCGGTCTTGGCATCCAAAAGTGCGGACATCTTCTCCTCCGGCTTCAGCTGGCGCTCGAATGAGGACAGTGAACAAAGGCCGGGCGGAAAAGCGGCGCACCCGCCTGCAAGGTCGTGGCCTTAGCAGAATCGAGGACACTCGAAGCTTCAGTGCCACACCTACACTGGCATCGAGATCCAAGCGGTTAGTGCTTTGCGTTACGCACCCGGGATGGACCACATAAAATGGCTGTCGTTGACAGCTTATGCACAAAAACTTGAGACCATGACCAGAAACATGAGGGGAAGAGTTGCAGGCACCCAAATCAGGTCCAACCTCTCTTTTTCCTCTCTGTCCAGAAGTGCCGGTCGGCGAAAGGCGCGCGGCCCTCGGCTTGGCCGGGCGCGGCTCCTCGCAGGCGCCTTGCGGCCTTCGCTGGCCTTCGCTGCACGCCTTCTGCGCGCATTCGCCATGCGCTTCCTTGTTGCGCGATTTCGACCTGCCTCGGCCTCGATCTGTGAAGTCCGGAAGCGCCTGTGCGACTCACGGCCTGCGTACAGCGAAGCTTCGCATGCAGCGAGACGGAGGCGGCTGCCTAGGCCTACAAACCTGTGATCTGAGAGTGACGCAAGTAAAGGTAGATGCTGCGATTGGCATCGTCGCGCTTCAGGAATTCTGTCAAAGGCCGCTTGTTTGAGCTAATCTCATCAACAGAATGCAGTGCTGCCTCTCTCGATCAAGTGCTCGATCTGGCTCTTGATCTGTGCCGGCTGCGGCTTGAAAAGAGTGCATTGTCTGAAGACCTCGTCCAAAAGGGAGTTGTGTTCCAGCCTGTTCCTGGTGCGGAGAGTGTCCCTAGGAGGAGAGACCGCAAGAGACGTCCTGGATTTCATGATCCGAACAATAGCCGCGTCGATGACGTGCTTGCGCTCCACCGGCGCCTCCGCGCACACCGAGCTTTGGACACCGGGTATGTGATGCCCTTAACGTCCCCAGCCTCAGCCAGTGTCGTCGTCTCCGCTTTCTCCTGTCGCCACTTCAAGACTTCTCAACTTCAAACCACCACTTCTGCAACGTGCATCACAAGCCCGAAGTGTAATGTGCACGGCGCCATCAAGCTCTCAGCTGCGATTCGTTGCATGAGCCGTCATCTCAGTGCAGCAATTTTCGGTGTGCCCGTGTCCTCCTTCTTGATGAGGCTCACTGCAACCTTCACCTTTTCGTTCGCAAACTTGTCATTCACCTGCGATGTGAGATGTGAACTGCGGCTCGTGTGTTTGCGCAAAGAAGCATGTTTTCGGGAAGCTGAGTCGAGGGGTTGCCGCCCATTTCACAGCTCTCCAAAGACGGCAGGAACTCCAGGCAGCCGATGCAATTAGAACCTAGGCCTGCAGGGATAAGGAAGGGGAACACTGTAGCCATGGACCTTTCAAGGCTTACCCGCCGGACCGGGCGCGCAACATCGAGGGGCTATGGCCTATGCAATGTTTCGAGAAACCGCACTGACTAGAGTAAGTACGTAAGAGAAGTGCAGGCAGCCGATTCTTCAGGATGCCAGCTGCAGACTTTCAGGCTTTAGATTTGTGATCAGGCTTTAGGTCTTTCAGCAACACTGTCGTAGCAGACGTTCCCGCGAAGAGGAAGTACCGAGAGGGTTGCCTTTTTGGCGGAAGATTTGACAAAATAGAACAAGTTCCATGAGACTCCAAAACCGGAAACATCAGTCAAACGTACTTCATCAAGAGGAGCGCGGGCAAACGGTAGGGTTTTGCTGTACTACTGTACTACTACTACTACTACTACTACTACCACCACCACCACCACGACCACCACCACCACTACCACCCCCACTCCTACTCCTGCTTCTGCCACTGCTACCGCTGCTGCTACTGCTACTGCCACTGCTACCACCACCGGCCAGTGTCAGCCAGGATAGACGCAGCAGCAGCGGCAGCGGTAGCAACAGTAGTTACCGGTAGTTGCCGCCCGGTCAGCTGCGGAAGAAGTATGTCAGTCGGAAAGGAACTGGAAGACACTCGCTTTCTCCGGCTCGTGTTTCTCTTCGTCAGTGCGAGGCTTGGTCCGTAGTGGCCTGGGGTCGGAGGAGGGAAGGCAAAGCGGGGTAGGACGAGGACTCCAGTAAGGAATTTGCTAGACGTCTGCGATGCTGAGAGCTGCAGCACTTACCGGACGTCGCTGCGGGAGCGACGTCCGGCTAGCACAACGAGACCGGCCACGGGCAAGCAGGCCTGCCGCACCTGTGTCTGCTGCAGCTCTCAGCATCGCAAAGGTGCCCGCTGTGCCCTCCTTTCTCGGGCTGACGAAACAAAACACGAGCTGGAGAGCCTGCACCTGCGCCCTGCAGATATCTGTTTTTGTACCGTCCTGGGAAAGCCAACGAAAAGCAGTGTGCTTGTGCTTGGAGCAGCAGCTAGATGACATGCAGCAGCAGCACCTCCGAGACCGAGACCAGCAGCAGCAGGAACAGGAGGACGCACGAACGACGACACCCCTCCGTTTGCCCACACCTTTTGCGAAGGGCGAGGAGCACGAGTTCGTGCAAAAGGGGTGTGGGCAAACGGTGGGGGTGGTGCGTGCTGCTACTACTCCTGCTGCTGCTGCTACCGCCACTGCTGCTACTAACACTTCGTATCCATGTACAGCTGCATATGTGTATACACATCCACATACACACATGTATATGCTTTTATGTCTACCCGCACATGGCCTGCTGGGAGTATGCTCTCTTGTCAAGGCTCATACTGACAGTGAACAGCGATTCACGACCCAGACTCGACTTCACATGAGTACGGGCATGCATGTGTGTGTGTGTGTGTGTGGGTATGTATGTACGTATGCTGAAGTACCCACGGGTGAACAATTCTGGCTGTGGAGGGACTTGGACTTACGGTAAGCAATGCGCACTCTGACAGTTCCCCTGACTCTACAGCTCTATCTGCAATTACATACATATGGATACGTGCAAATGCTTCTGCTGCGTGCTACCCACTGATATATACACATACACATATCTGTACATACATGCCCGTACCTACATAATGTACATACTACAGATATGTAAGCACGTAGCTAGCACCAAACAGCACAATACTCAACAGCCCACCTGCTTTGATGATTGATACGATGAGTGCTCACAGGAGCTTTGAAGGCCTTGCATTATGAGCTCCTTTCAAACACTCAGCGGATTTGTCACAGCATGTCTTTCAACCACCTGCCCTACCTGTGGCTGAACAGATCGGCCGTGGTCATCTGCTTTTAAATTCGAACCGAAGCTTGCAAGAAACATAGTGTCAACAGCACACAGCCTGCCACCGACAGACAAACAGAGCTCTTGGCCAACAAGTCTTACTCGATACTTAGAGTGCCAGAAGCTGCTCTATTCTCAAAAATGCCTCGATGCGTGTAGGAGCTCCAAAGGCAGGTGCGTCTCAATGAGTCTTGAGGCTTCGGTGCATTTTGCTGGCCTGTGTTTTTGGATTTCTGCGAAATATGGCTTCGTTGCATGTTCCATGACTGCAAACAGCATTTTCTGGAAGCAGTTCCGCTGCATTTCGTCTGCTTGATAACAGCAACAGAGCGTAGAGTATAGTAAACTTTCGGCTGGTCCAGGACAGGATGTGAAGACCTGACGAAAAGATTCCCAAATGAAGGCTTTGCAGGGCCACCTGCTGCAATTCTGCATAACAACGACATCAGGACGTCGGTTTGCTGCTGTTCTTGGCTTGCATGCGTGTCCCGCACGGGTTTGTATGTGCGTGTGTGTGAGTGTGTGTCGTGTCTTTATGATATTTGGTGCTGGGGCGAGGTGAACTTGTAGAGTACAGGATCGAGTGTGCTGCTTTGATTTCCTAGCTTTGCTGTGACATAAGTATTCTGGCGTAGGAAGCTTCAGTCTTCAGGCTAGCACAAGATTTCTTCATTTGTTCGGGGCTTCTCTGACGCAGCCACCACTCACCAAGAGTTGTGCGTCTATGTGTGTACATATGCATGTGTGTGTGTGTGTATGTATGTATGTATGTATGTATGTATGTATGTATGTATGTATGTATATATGTGTATAGTCCCATAAGCGAGCGCTTGCAAGCCGACCAGATCTGGAGCTCGGCGAAGGGGATCCCCCGATATCCCGAAAAGAACAAAGGGCGGAGTGGGTGGGTTCTTTTTCGGGCACGGCCGATCGGCTCATGTCAAAATGGCCACGGATCAGAAGGATCACGGCTGTTCTTACGATCGCTAAACTGATCTCCTAATTCCTCACCTACCAAGCCGATAATTAGGAGACCAGTTTCTGCGATCTCCACCACTCACAAAATTCGCTGAACAGCCAGCGATCGCACAACTTCTTTTCTGCGACCGCAACGTGGGATTTGGTCGCACCATCGATCGGATCAAAACTTCACTCGATCTTCACCAGTCCGAACGGAACCCCGATCACCGGGTGTGCGCATCGGCATTGCCAACGATCGCAACATCAATCCGAACGGACACATCAGATGAGCGATATTCCCAGGCCCTCAGACCCCTTTGGGAGTATCTGAAGGAACGGTGATCCAACCGCATAGCAGACCTGTAGCCGCGTCGCCCCGCGAGGGATTATCAGCAGGGTTCGAATCAGTAGGAACACGATCGATGTAGATCGAGCACCGTCACTCGAGAACAAGCTCCCAGAAAATCCCTACGAGCTCGCAAACGTCTTCCTTGGCCGAATAACCTTTGATCAAGGCTGCTTCGACCGGCTCTGAATCAATGAACAACAAAACCAGCTTTCCACGGATCTCTTCCCGAAAAATCTGAACGGCTACTACAGCGGCAAGCAACTCAATCGTGCAGATCTGCATTTTCCTAGGGAACCACCTCTGCATGATCAGCTTCGGAACATCCGAGGAGAACTGCTTGGGCAGATCATCCCGGGTGAACATAACGCCTCCGATCATCTCAGTAGCCGGATCCTTCGGGTTCGTGCTCGGAGCAGAGCCATCCGTGAAGATCACGACGTCAGTCTTCCGGGGCCCCGAGCTGGGTATCTGCCATCGGCCTCGGGGGCCCATGCATGACGAGCGTCCTCCACTTGTAGAGCGAGTACAGCAGAGCCGGTGTCAGATCGGTAGCTGAAGTCTTCCGCAAATACTGCCGATCGGACAGTGCCCTCAGAAAAGCTCGTCCGATCTTGCCCCACAGCTGAGAAGCCCCAAACATGAGCTTGCCGCGGAGCTTCCCGGCCTGACCTGGGGAGAGCTCTTCGTGCTCGAGAATCATGGAGATCTCGTCGAAGAGCTCCTTCTTCCGCGACTTCTTGATGTTAAGAAGGTACTGGTCAAGGTCGTAGGTGACGCCGAGGATCGTATGGTCCGAGCACAGCTGGAGCTTTTGCTGGTCGAACCTGGCCCCCAGCCACCAGTGCACTTTCTCCGCGAGCGCGAACGCACTCGCGGCCGTGTCCTCCGGTTCGAATCCGTACTTGTCGTCGTAGAAGTTGAACCCGGCCACGAAGAACACGCGCCGAAGGACGTCGGTGATAGCCGCCGAGCGCCGGTTATAGTTGTAGACGGCAGAGACAAGCCCGAACGAATGCCCCACCATCACAAAGAAAGCGACCTTGCCAGTGTTAGGATCTTTCAGGGCCACCGCGCTCCACTTCCTGTGAGCCGGGGAAATGGGCACCTGACGGTAGGCCCGACGCTCGTCCAGGACCCAGCCCCGAAGAGGCTTGTCAGGGAACCGCGAGCGCAGCCATTTGATCACTGCAACGTTCGCGTCCGTAGACGGAAGCTCGAGCTTCTCTGTCACGACGGTCGCCATGTTGATCCCGTTCGAGCTGGCGCTATCAACTCCTCGAACCTTGTTCTTCTGGACCACCTCGAATCTCTGGGTCGGGATCCAATGATCATCACCAACGAACTCTGAAACCTCCGACTCCTCAAAGAAAGGCCCGATCGCGGCTCCTTCTTCAACATCCTCAAGGGTAGCTTCCCAGACCTTGGGAGAATGCTCGGTCACAGGAGCCCTTCTAATCGCACCCAGAACCTTGGATCGAAACTCCCAGGCCCGAGAACGAAGAGAATCCACCGAGAGGTGTTCAGCGTGAGGCTTGCGATCAGCAGCCCAGCGATGTGAGGAGGCGATGTCGCCGACGATCGGCATTCCAGCCATGATCTGGTCCACGAGGTCCACGTCAGAGCACTTGGCTTCTTGCAGGAGCTCGCGCCACAGCGCCACATGAAA